GGTTTGGCGGATGCCAGGAGAACGCTACCTGCCCCAATGCATAGTGCCAACTGTAAAGTTTGGTGGAGGAATAATGGTCTGGGGCTGTTTTTCATGGGTCGGGCTAGGCCCCTTAGTTCCAGTGAAGGGAAATCTTAATGCTACAGCATACAATGACATTCTAGACGATTCTGTTCTTCCAACTTTGTGGAAACAGTTTGGGGAAGGCCCTTTCCTGTTTCAGCATGACAATGCCCCCGTGCACAAAGCGAGGTCCATACAGAAATTGTTTGTCGAGATCGGTGTGGAAGAACTTGAGTTGCCTGCACAGAGCCCTGACCTCAACCCCATCGAACACCTTTGGGATGAATTGGAACGGCGACTGTGAGCCAGGCCTACTCACCCAACATCAGTGCCCATCCTCACTAATGCTCTTGCGGCTGAATGGAAGCAAGTCCCCACAGCAATGTTCCAACATCTAGTGGAAAGCCTTCCCAGAAGAGTGGAGGCTGTTATAGCAGCAAAGTGGGACCAACTCCATATTAATGCCCATGATTTTGGAATGAGATGTTCAACGAGCAGGTGTCCACATACTTTTGACCATGTAGTGTATCATAAACCCCCCCCAAAATGCTACCCTTTCCTGTTATTGTAATGGTGAGAGCTTAGCATGTCTTGGGGGTATGATATTTATGCGTCCGTAACTTTCTCACCCATCATTATTCACGATTCATCCGTAATCATGGTAGCATCCACATTAATGTAGAAGTGTTTAGAAAGATATTATATTCTTATTAACAATAAAAGTGACTCTAGAATGACACAATACATTATTTACCATTCATTTCTGAAACACAACCAAAACAAACAGCAAACGCATCCAACACATTTGTAGAGTCACAAGCTTGATATAGTCATTGTCTGCTATGAATATGGGCACAAATATTTAACTTTTTACTACTTTAATACACATCTAAGTGAATTTGTCCCAATACTTTTGGTCCCCTAAAACGGGGGGGGGGGGGGGGGGGGGGGAAGACTATGTACAAAAAGTGCTGTAATTTCTAAACGGTTCACCCGATAGGGCTGAAAATACCCTCAAATGAAAGCTGACAGTCTGCACTTTATCATTTCAAAAGAGCAAAAACAAAACAAAAATGTCACAGTCCAAATACTTTTGGAGCTCACTGTACATCCTACTACTGGTCACTTATTTTACGTATAAACCCACCTCAACCACTCCAGTACATTTTACATTTACGTCATTTAGCAGATGCTCTTATCCAGAGCGACTTACAGTTAGTGAGTGCATACATTTTCATACTGGCCCCCCGTGGGAATCAAACCCACAACCCTGGCGTTGCAAGCACCATGCTCTACCAACTGAGCTACACGGGGCCTCCTGCACATTGAGTAAGGTACCGACACTGACCTGTATATACTTGCATTCTCGTGTTCTTTAACGCTCATCGTAGTTCTTGTGTGATTTTTATTCTTACTTTCATTTTTTATTCTATTTTCTATATGATTATCACCGCATTGTTAGGAAAGAGCTCTCAAGGGAAGAATTTCACTGCACTGTTTTACACCTGTTGTATCCTATGCACATGGCGAATAAACTTTGAAACTTGAACTCATGATCTATCCAGTTGTTGTACCCGACAAACCCTCGTATCCCGTGTGTGTGTGTGTGCTTTACTCAGACAGTGTAACACTCTGCTTTTACAGCCGTCATTTAAGTCTTTGTACAAAATGTACAGGAAGTATTAGACACATGGAAAAGCAACATACACTGAAAACACTCAATGTAAAAAAAAAAAAAAAAAAGCAAGGTGTTTTTTGGTGCTAGAATTACACTCACTTATTGCTGCAGCGAGTTTGGCTAGGGAAACAGAGGAGAGACATCAACATAAACATACTAAATGAACGTAATAGCTGAAATCTGGTTTCCCACCACCGTCACAGTACCCCCATTGGAAAAAGGCAAGGGCTATGCCTCAAGAGTGAGGCTTAGTGTACTCTCATGTCCAAATCTGGCAAAAGTTGACAAATAAATACATAAATACTACTATGCATTTGTAACACACAGGGCCATGGCGGAGCATAGTCATATGGCTGAATGTGTACTGTCATTTTTTGTAGTACAGAGAGGGTCATCTTGGTTGTCACCTGGTAGTAGGGCAAGGCTGCGGCCATAGAAGAATATGGACATGACAGAAAATGGCAGTTTAGAAAGAGAAATGGTACTCAGCCTCTGCAAGGCGGAACTAAAAATGAACCAAACACGAATACATTTTTTCTTCTTTTTTTTAAGCAAAAATAATTTGGTTTATGTAGAAACAAGCGATGTTTTGCATTTGGATATTTTCCTCTCCTTTAAAAGAGTTAAAGCTTAAAAAAAGAAATACAAATGAGTATAAACTCCTCCCATTACACCCAGATTAAATTAGTATAAACTCCTCCCATTACACCCAGATTAAATGAGTATAAACTCCTCCCATTACACCCAGATTAAATGAGTATAAACGCCTCCCGTTACACCCATATTAAGTGAGTATAAACTCCTCCCGTTACACCCAGATTAAATGAGTATAAACTCCTCCCATTACACCCAGATTAAATGAGTATAAACTCCTCCCGTTACACCCAGATTAAATGAGTATAAACTCCTCCCGTTACACCCAGATTAAATGAGTATAAACTCCTCCCGTTACACCCAGATTAAATGAGTATAAACTCCTCCCGTTACACCCAGATTAAATGAGTATAAACTCCTCCCGTTACACCCAGATTAAATGAGTATAAACTCCTCCCGTTACACCCAGATTAAATGAGTATAAACTCCTCCCGTTACACCCAGATTAAATGTAGGCCGATGTTGGTGACAAAAAACAAAGAAAACCTGGGGAGAGCTCACAATGGAGATACTATAGATAATAACATACATATAAAATATACAATCTGAAATATATCTGATATATATTAAATCGTGTTAAGGTTCAATATCTTTTACTACACAACATTTGGGTGGCATGTCTGCTTATTTTTCTTCTTTACATTTCTATTATATAAATCATAGGAAAGTAAAGCAAAACAAATTAATCAATGGACAAACAAATGTGGGAAAATGGTAACTAAGCAACAGATGGCAGCCTCGTCCCCTCACCCCACCCCTACCCAGGGTGCACCAGCACAGGGGGCGGCTGAGGCCTGCCTAGCTGTACAGCGCAGTGAAACTTACCTTACATCTTAGCTCATTTTACACGTACAGTCGTGATCAAGGCACAGGGATCTTCTATAAGTAATTTTTTTCAATAAAGCTGTACAAAATAATACATTTTACAGTCTGTACAAGAATAATAGTCCAGCAGTAAAATAAAGACAGACAGACATACTGAATGCTCGGAGGCTGGGAGACAGGAGAGGTGAGGTGCCAGGGAACAAGACAGGGATGTGGAGGGATAAGTGATGAGGGCAGGACTCTGTGTGTGTGTGCGTGTGTTTGTGCGTGTGTGTGTGGTTTGTGTGTCTGTGTGTGTGTGTGTGTGTGTGTGTATTTGTGTGTGTGTTTGTGTGTGTTTGTTTGTGTTTGTGTGTGTGTGTGTGTTTGTGTGTGTGTGTGTGTGTTTGTGTGTGTGTGTTTGTGTTTTTGTGTGTTTGTGTGTGTGTTTGTGTGTGTGTTTGTGTGTGTGTGTGTTTGTGTGTGTGTTTGTGTTTGTGTGTGTGATTGTGTGTGTGTGTTTGTGTGTGTTTGTGTGTGTGTGTTTGTGTGTGGTGTTTGTGTGTGTGTGTTTGTGTGTGTGTGTGTGTTGTGTGTGTGTGTGTGTGTGTGTGTGTGTGTGTTTTGTGTGTGTGTTTGTGTGTGTGTGTGTGTGTGTGTGTGTGTGTGTTTGTGTGTGTTTGTGTGTGTGTTTGTGTGTGTGTTTGTGTGTGTGTGTGTTTGTGTGTGTGTTGTGTGTTTGTGTGTGTGTTTGTGTGTGTGTGTGTTTGTGTGTGTGTGTGTGTTTGTGTGTGCATGTCATGTCTATCCTTTGCTTCCTCAACTTTGTCTTTCCGTTTGTTGTGGTTATTCTTTACTTATTAAATAAAGCCGGTCCTATAATAGTTCATGTTTTGGGAGCTGGAGTTGGGTAGCAGTGGGGAGGGGGGGACAAGGAGAAGAGAACGGTTGATTTGGGAGGAAACAGGAGAAACAGGGTTAAATGGTGAACAAAGGCAGATCGCACACACAGCGTACACCAACATACAACATGTGGAACTAACAAACTTAAAAGTTGACTTGTGTTATTACAGGAATATATAATATTTATATATATACATATATAAATATCTATATATATAGCTTGGATTTTTTTGCACTGCATGACATTCACTGTATGCATGAATTCATGTATTGTATGTTTAGATTTTCCTCCTCACTGATTCCAGAAAAGCAAGTAATGTGACAGTCACACTCAGTTCTACATGCATCCATCCATCCCCAGGCAGAATGTGCTCACAACCCGCTTCTTTATTGGTTACATTCCTCCATCTTTTCGATTTGTCCATCGTTTTTTTCCCAGAGCATTCTTCAGTGCATATACTGCATCTCTCGAGAACATCTCTCGCCAGAGTAACTCAAGACTGAAAACAGTTGTACAAGGTAAAAGTGTGTGTGAGAGAGATATTTCCAAGTAAAATAATGAATGTGAGACACTGAAAACGAGAGAAGGTTCCGTGCGTGTGTGTTTGAGCGAGAGAGAGAGAGATAGCGAGAGGAAAAGAGCCACGGATTGTACATTGCAGTCCTGAGCACAGGTTCAAAGTGCAGTGGAGAGTTCAGCAGTCCTGGCTTGTTACAGGTACAGTACTGTGTTTAGGAGTCTGTCGGCTGCACTGTCACTTTCTATATTTGAAACACAGTGTCCCCAGGAGAAGATGTTTGTTTTTCAGGATGGAAGGGGAGGGTTGGTTGAGTGAGGAGGGGACTAACTGATCAAGGATAGGCAGAACACCGGGAGTCTCTCCTCCCACTCACATCACAAGAGCTCATATTGTCGTAGGTGCATCCTCTGAATGATGTCTCGACAGTCGTTGAAGACGCGCCGGATGTTTTCAGTATCCACTGCGCAGGTGAAATGGGGATAACAATAATGCCTTCCGTCTCCGCTGGCTGTGCTGATCCTCTGAAAAGGCCACAGAGAAGAGAAGGGATTCATAATCACATATGGCTGTTTGCATATTGGTCTGAGACTTCTATACACATTTGTTACTTCTATATGCTTGGTTTCTTACACAAGAAGGTCAACAAAAAAGTGACTAGACATGAATGAACGTACCAGAAACTCATCACGTATGAAGTACTTTGCCCTTGTGACACGAGGATCCTCCCCTGGCTCTGGTGTTGCTGGTTAGGAAGGGCAAAGACACCAAACTCAGTGGACATCATTTATACAGTTGAAGTCGGAAGTTTACATACACCTTAGCCAAATACATTTAAACTCAGTTTTTCACAATTCCTGACATTTAATCCTAGTAAAAATTCCCTGTCAGGTAGGATCACCACTTTATTTTAAGAATGTGAAATGTCAGAATAATAGTAGAGAGAATGATTTATTTCAGCTTTTATTTATTTAATCACATTCCCAGTGGGTCAGAAGTTTACATACACTCAATTAGTATTTGGTAGCATTGTCTTTAAATTGTTTAACTTGGGTCATACGTTTCGGGTAGCCTTCCACCAGCTTCCCACAATAAGGGGTGAATTTTGGCCCATTCCTCCTGACAGAGCTGGTGTAACTGAGTCAGGTTTGTAGGCCTTCTTGCTCGCACACGCTTTTTCAGTTCTGCCCACACATTTTCTATAGGATTGAGGTCAGGACTTTGTGATGGCCACTCCAATACCTTGACTTTGTTGTCCTTAAGCCATTTTGCCACAACTTTGGAAGTATGCTTGGGGTCATTGTTCATTTGGAAGACCCATTTGCGACCAAGCTTTAACTTCCTGACTGATGTCTTTAGATGTTGCTTCAATATATCCACATCATTTTCCTTCCTCATGATGCCATCTATTTCTTGAAGTGCACCAGTCCCTCCTGCAGCAAAGCACCCTCACAGCATGATGCTGCCACCCCCGTGCTTCACGGTTGGGATGGTGTTCTTCGGCTTGCAAGCAGCCCCCTTTTTCCTCCAAACAAAACGATGGTCATTATGGCCAAACAGTTCTATTTTAGTTTCATCAGACCAGAGGATATTTCTCCAAAAAGTACGATCTTTGTCCCCATGTGCAGTTGCAAACCGTAGTCTGGCTTTTTTATGGCGGTTTTGGAGCAGTGGCTTCTTCCTTGCTGAGTGGCCTTTCAGGTTATGTCGATATAGGAGTAGTTTTACTGTGGATATAGATACTTTTGTACCTGTTTCCTCCAGCATCTTCACAAGGTCCTTTGCTGTTGTTCTGGGATTGATTTGCACTTTTCGCACCAAAGTACGTTCATCTCTAGGAGACTGAACGCGTCTCCTTCCTGAGCGGTATGACGGCTGCGTGGTCCCATGGTGTTTATACTTGCGTACTATTGTTTGTACAGATGAACGTGGTACCTTCAGGCGTTTTGAAATTGCTCCCAAGGATGAACCAGACTTGTGGAGGTCTACAAATATTTTTTCTGAGGTCTTGGCTGATTTCTTTTGATTTTCCCATGATGTCAAGCAAAGAGGCACTGAGTTTGAAGGTAGGCCTTGAAATACATCCACAGGTACACCTCCAATTGACTCAAATTATGTCAATTAGCCTATCAGAAGCTTCTAAAGCCATGACATCATTTTCTGGAATTTTCCAAGCTGTTTAAAGGCAACTTAGTGTCTGACCCACTGGAATTGTGATACAGTGAATTATAAGTGAAATAATCTGTCTGTAAACAATTGTTGGAAAAATTACTTGTGTCATGCAGAAAGTAGATGTCCTAACCGCCTTGCCAAAACTATAGTTTGTTAACAAGACATTTGTGGAGTGGTTGAAAAACGAGTTTTAATGACTCCAACCTAAGTGTATGTAAACTTCCGACTTCAACTGTATATCCGCATCTGTTAAATCACTGTATACCAGACATTTTCATTTAGATCAGTAAAATAATCCATGTTAACAAGATTCATTCTTCACCAGAGAAGAGTTCGCAAAGAGTTCCGAAGTGTTCCAAGTTATATTATTACAATTGTTACATTTACAGATAAACTTGAAACGTTGACAGCCTTGAATAGTTCCAGTAGAGAGTTGCTCAAGAGTATTACTGTTTCCCTTACCATCATCTGGTGTAGTGTAGCGCCCAAACTCTGGGAAATACTCTTCAATTTTAGATTTCCCCACAAGCACCTTCTCTGCTAGCAGATCCTGTTTGTTCAGGAAGAGAATGACAGAAATGGTCCGTAGCCACCTGAGGAGAGAAACAACCACAAAGGGAATTGAAGTGGATGTATTCAAATCAATTACAATTTAAATGAGCACAAAAGGTCAACAATCCATATCGGCAACTGCTGTGGCTGGGATTCACACAAAACGACAGTATGTCAAGGACAAGAGTGGCTTTGTAAGGGGACTGAAAGTGGGAGAGGCCAGAGAGGTCTTACCTGTTGTTCCAGATGTTCTTGAAGAGGTTGAGGGCCTCCTGCAGCCGGTTGGTCTGATTGTCCTCCCGGATCACCATGTTGTAGCTGCTACTGGCCACCACAAAGATAATGGCTGTCACATCTGGAGGGACAGACAGACAGACAGACAAGGAGACAACCACCACTGGGTTAGACACAATACAGGACATGTGCATGGATGTGAAGGTGGATGCATCCCCATGCCATTTGCTTGTACACTTATTGGAGGTAGAAATACAATATTACCATTAAAACACTGAATCCACTTTCGGCGTTCATCCCTCTGACCTCCAACATCAAACATACTGGGAGAGGAGAAAAGACAATGAGAGTTACTTACTGCCCAATAGACAACTGATAACAAGTAGCACAGAGGGATCAACAGTTAACTAGGGTAGTCATCTTAAAGAAAAATGGCTGCCATTTCGAACTCACTGAAAATTGACTTTGTCCACTTGGAATCTTGTCTCAAAAATCCCTGAAGTCAGTACTCTACATCTCAACAGGTCCTGATCAGTGGGAGAGTAGTCACTCTGCTTCACAATGTCAATCTTTTCTAGAAAGCTGTAAAAGAGGATTACACATTTATTGACAGATATTAAAGGACACAATATGATATTTATATATATTGTGCTGACAGAAATACATAATTAGTAATATACCCTATTTGCTCCACTCAATTTCGACAATATTCCAAGGAATATAATAATATTCCTCATTTCTGAGAGACAGATGACCGAACCCCACACAGTACCCTGAATTACCAACCATCAGCCTACCAACTCTGAAACATTCTCAAACCAGAACAATTGTCAAATACCAAAACCTCACTGGGTGCTACAGCTGCATTTGAGACATCAGATTTCTGTTATCTGTCTGTGAATTCAGGGCTGAGTTCAGCCAACTACAGGGGAGACATGGAGGGGTAACCATGACCACAGAATGTTTCACCATACATTTCCTGTCAAACTAACCAGACTGTAAACATTCTCAAGATGACACTAGCGGGCATTCCGGCTCTGGCAAATTCCACACCAGGCAGACTGACACTAGGGGAGGGAGACTACAGTCACCAACCAGTAAAGCAAAAAGATGGATAACACTTCCACAACCGACCAGCAGAGGGAGTGTATTTTCTCTCCACAGTGAGATCAAAGAGGCTTGCTGTGTGAGTCACCAGCAGTTTGCTCTGTCAGACACTGTAGTCACTGGATCTGCTGCTGTAGTAGTAATAGTGAGGGGGGGGGGGGGGGACTCTGTAAATGTTATATGCACATAGTTGAACCATGTAATATGTTTAAGATGAATTTAGAGAGCTTATGGTCTACAGCTGACTGACTGACATGCCTTTAGACTGATGTGACTTGTTGTGGCCAACCAGAAGACGGATTGGATCCACCCTTCCCTCTTTTTCTACATGTTAACCTGGACCCTAAGTGTGGACTGCCATCATTGGTCCAGTCTACTGGGCAGACCTGGACCCTAAGTGTGGACTGCTGTCATTGGTCCAGTCAATTGGGCAGACCTGGACCCTAAGTGTGGACTGCTGTCATTGGTCCAGTCAATTGGGCAGACCTGGACCCTAAGTGTGGACTGCTGTCATTGGTCCAGTCAATTGGGCAGAATAGTGTGACAAGCCCAACCTCACACCATGGTCATAGGCTACACGTTTCAACATCAGAAAGGTATTGTGTGTTGTGTCGTCCCAACAGTCAAATACAATGACTGCTGTCTGAAATGAAGGTAAAATAGCTCCATTCCACAGTGAAGTACAGTGATTCAAGGCATTCCTGAAGATCCCCATGGAGACCAATACACTTTGATTTGATCTGAGACTAGCTGTAGGAATAGGGAGGCCTGGTAACCTGCCTCATGTCCAGAACCACACCATGGAGAATCAGTGTGCTGCCTGCCTGCCTCTCAGGGAAGCGGTATGTAACCCCATGAGATAACTAGGAATGTGACAGGAGGGCTGCAGGTCACACACAGAGAGAGGAGGGGGCTGTCTGTCAGACAGACAGACAGACAGACAGACAGACAGAGATTCGCATAGACAGACATGCTTCATGCTCACACACACACACACACACACGCACTTGTGCGCCCGCACACAGAGCCAGCAAGCTACCACCTCCCTCTTGGGGCTGAGTGGCGAGGCTGTTCTCATACCACAACTGCTCTGATGAGCCCACGGATCTAGTCCAAATACACATCTCAATTTGAGAATTTCTCCCTATTAATAGAGCTAGTCCTATAATAACCCACCCTAGTAGTCAGACTGAATAATAATGTTGCTACAGTAGTTCAACCCACACCACTAGATGTAGATACACTAACCTGGTGTGCTTCTATTGGTGGCAGACTGACGTTTGTCCAGAAAATATTTATTTTTATATTTTCTATAACTTGTTTGGTGATCTCGAAAGTATTTCTAGGATATAGTCTTTGTGTACAATTGTCCAGCACTGGTAAATGGAAATTTGACTTACCGCCCCAGCCTTTGAGATTTCCAGTAATTTCAAGTATCTTTAACTTTAAGTAACATTAACCTAGGTTTAATAACAGGGACATGTTCTACAAAGCAGGCTACAATGTGGGATAACTTAATAGCTCTGGGGCATTGCTCCAAAAATCTTAAAGACAACACACACACACACATGCATGTGCAAACACACACACACTGAATCACATGAATTATATGACAACAATGATTATCTGTTTACATTTTCCACCAAAGAAAATGTATGGGATGTACTTGATGGCAACCGATAACACTGTACAGTAAAATGGGTCATTTTTTGGGTCAAGTTCACCTCATTGAACAAAAAAATTAAATAATACATGACAATTTAAAAACGTTGGTCATCATTTTGGGGCATTGTCCTCTCGCAATTTTCTATTTTCCACAAAACACATTCTGGTTTGTATAAAATGGGGTTAGTATAAAATAGGTTTGCTTATTGTTGGTTAAGATTCATAAGAGAGAGACAGAAAAGAAGAAGAGAGAGAGCAGAGAGAGAGGGAGAGAGGGATAGAGAGAGAAGAGAGAGAGAGAGAGAGAAGAGAGAGAGACGAGGGAGGAGAGAGAGAGAGAGTGAGAGAGCGCAGATCGAGAGAGAGAGAGAGAGATCGAGAGAGAGAGACGAGAGAGGACGATAGAGCTCCCCTCGGCGCGCCCGCCCTGCTCGCATCTCTCGTCTCCTCCGCTCGGCTCGCACGCCGCTCGGACTCGATTCTCGAGCCGAGAGCGCGAGGCGCGGCGCGTCGCTCGCGCGCTCGAGCTCTCTCTCCTCTGCGCGGCGCGCCGGCTAGCTCTCTCTCTCTCCTCTGAGCCGCTTTTCGCTCTCTCGTCTCCTCTCCTCTCTCCTCGTCTCGCTCTCGCCCTCTCCTCGTCTCCTCCGCTCTCTCTCCGCCCTCTGCTCCTCTCTCTCTCTTTCTCCCTGCTCGTCCTCTCTCTCGCTCTCTCGTCCCTCTCCTCTCTTCGCGCCCTCACCTCTTCTCTCCTCCTCTCGCGCGCTCTCCGCCCCTCTCCTCCCTGCGCCCTCGTGGGTTGCCTCGATCGCTCGCGCTATACAGAAGGAGAAGACTGTGTCTGACATTACAGAGCTGCTCCAAAAATAGCTCCCTGGCGCCCTGGCCTCCAGCTTGGTTGTCATGGAGACAGAACCACAGGCACTATAAATAGACTATCAGCTCCAAATCTTTAGTGACTGGAGCGGGGCCAGAGAGAGGGAGAGAGAAAGAAAGGCAGGGAGAGAAGAGAAGAGGGGGGAGGGAAAGGTGGAGAGAGGCCAGCAAAGGGAGGGGGAGAGCCCCCCCCCAACAGACTGGCAACACAGGCTCTAAATAGGAACACATTCTAGAAATAACAATCGACTGGCAACACAGGCTCTAAACAGGAACGCATTCTAGAAATAACAATCGACTGGCAACACAGGCTCTAAACAGGAACGCATTCTAGAAATAACAACTGACTGGCAACACAGGCTCTAAACAGGAACACATTCTAGAAATAACAACTGACTGGCAACACAGGCTCTAAACAGCAGAGCATTCTAGAAATAACAACCGACTGGCAACACAGGATCTAACAGGAACGCATTCTAGAAATAACAACCAACTGGCAACACAGGCTCTAAACAGGAACACATTCTAGAAATAACAACCGACTGGCAACACAGGCTCTAAAATGGAACGCATTCTAGAAATAACAACCGACTGGCAACACAGGCTCTAAAATGGAACGCATTCTAGAAATAACAACCAACTGGCAACACAGGCTCTAAACAGGAAAGCATTCTAGAAATAACAATCGACTGGCAACACAGGCTCTAAACAGAAGAGCATTCTAGAAATAACAACCGACTGGCAACACAGGATCTAACAGGAACGCATTCTAGAAATAACAACCGACTGGCAACACAGGATCTAACAGGAACGCATTCTAGAAATAACAACCGACTGGCAACACAGGCTCTAACAGGAACGCATTCTAGAAATAACAACCAACTGGCAACACAGGCTCTAAACAGGAACACATTCTAGAAATAACAACCGACTGGCAACACAGGCTCTAAAATGGAACGCATTCTAGAAATAACAACCAACTGGCAACACAGGCTCTAAACAGGAACGCATTCTAGAAATAACAACCGACTGGCAACACAGGCTCTAACAGGAACACATTCTAGAAATAACAACCGACTGGCAACACAGGCTCTAAAATGAAACGCATTCTAGAAATAACAACCAACTGGCAACACAGGCTCTAAACAGGAACACATTCTAGAAATAACAACCGACTGGCAACACAGGCTCTAAAATGGAACGCATTCTAGAAATAACAACCAACTGGCAACACAGGCTCTAAACAGGAACGCATTCTAGAAATAACAACCGACTGGCAACACAGGCTCTAAACAGAAGAGCATTTTAGAAATAACAACCAACTGGCAACACAGGCTTTAACAGGAACGCATTCTAGAAATAACAACCGACTGGCAACACAGGATCTAACAGGAACACATTCTAGAAATAACAACCGACTGGCAACACAGGCTCTAAACAGAAGAGCATTCCAGAAATAACAACCGACTGGCAACACAGGCTCTAAACAGGAGAGCATTCTAGAAATAACAACCAACTGGCAACACAGGCTCTAAACAGAAGAGCATTCTAGAAATAACAACCAACTGGCAACACAGGCTTTAACAGGAACGCATTCTAGAAATAACAACCGACTGGCAACACAGGATCTAACAGGAACACATTCTAGAAATAACAACCGACTGGCAACACAGACTCTAAACAGGAACGCATTCTAGAAAACACAACCGACTGGCAACACAGGCTCTAAACAGCAGAGCATTCTAGAAATAACAACCGACTGGCAACACAGGCTCTAAACAGGAGAGCATTCTAGAAATAACAACCGTCTGGGATCACAACAACGTAGCTACGTACGCAGACCAGGGGTGTATTCATTAGTTGGATTCTGTTTTGCAACGGAAACGTTTAAGGTTTACTCTAGGAACCAAACAGAAGCAAACAGAGCAAGCGGAAC